TTGAAGTTTCTTTAGCGGTTAGATTTGTTTTACGGGGTAGGGTTGCTAGCCCTATGCCCAACCTTCCCTCTTTACGGGGGCTTAGGACCGGCTAGTAACTAGTGAACTAGTTAACCAGGGGAGGTTACGGCGGCGCCATAGGTGGTGTAAATTGGCAAAAGCCAATCGAGCCTTTTGTATCCGTGCAGAAATCTCATCGGCAACTAACCCACCGGGGTTGATCCTACTTCCCAGGTAAGTGAAGTGGTCAACACACTCGACCACTACACTAACTCTCTATTGTTAGCCGTGGTCTTGCTGAAGACCAGTCCTGGAGGGAAAATTTGCATTTGGGTGGTGAAAATCGCGTCCCAAACATTCTCGAATTCCCACTCAAAGTGTTCAGAAGACTCTGCATCTTGTCAGCGTCTTCACCTAACAGGACTATGTCATCTGCATATTCTAGATCTAAAGAAAATTCACCTGTGATCGGGTCAACGTCTGTGTAATCAGGTGACGAGAGGTAAACCTCCATAAGAATATCTGTGATAAAATTGAATAAGAATGGGGATAGTGGGCATCCTTGACGGACACCACTTGATGAGTATAGCACCCTGGACAACTCGCCATAGGCTCTAACACACCCACAAGTGTTCGAGTAGAAAGCTTTCAATAAGGTGATGTACTTACTAGGCACGCCTTTCAGTGACAGACATTGCCATAAGACTTCTCGATCAACGGAGTCAAATGCCGCCTTCAGGTCGAGAAATACAGCTATTGTCGGGCGTCTGTAAGCATGCCTATGTTCCAGGACCTGGCGCAGTGTGAATATTTGGTCGATACACCCGCAGCCAGGTCTAAAGCCTGCCTGGTTTTCTCGGGCATGGTGTTCCCGAGCTCCACTCAGGCGTCGGAGAATTATAGAACTTAGGATTTTGGATACTATGTTCATCAGGCTGATTCCTCTGTGGTTATCACAAGAGGACTTCTCGCCTTTCTTGAAGACTGGGATGATGGGTGACTTAGACCAGTCAGAGGGGATCGTATTTGATTCCCATATACTGGCTAACACTTCCGTTAACCTGACTAACAGCACTCTACCACCATTTTTGTATACCTCAGCAGGTAGTCCGTCTGGTCCTGCTTCCCTTCCCCGTTTCAGGCTACCTACCGCTTTCTCAACTTCTAGTGTTGGGGGACCTGTCTCTATGTCCCATTCAGGATCCGACTGGATAGCGGGCAACGCAGTGGTGGCTGGAGGCCAGTTAAACTGTTCCTCGAAATGTTCTGCCCATCGTTCCAGTTGTCTCCCCTGCGAGTGAATCGCAGATCCGTCCTTCTCCGCTATAGCCTCACTAACTGTTGTTGACCATTTCCCCCAGTCTCCTTAATAAGTCTAAATAACTGTCTACTGTTACCGATCGCCGCTGCCTTTTCCATCTCTTTAGCCTTCGTTGCCCACCACTGTTCACGATCGTTGCGCAGACTTTTCCTCAGTCTATTTTTAAGTTGCGCTCTCTCTTCATTGTACTCAGAGCCTGCTGCTGATATCCACTGGCTCTTTTTAGCCATTATCTTGGAGTCGGCTACAGTCTCCAGTGCTGCTTTTACAGTAGACTGAAGATGGCACCAAGCTTCTTCTGGATGAGTGACAGTCTTTTGTTCCGATAACTGCCTAGCCAACTTCTCACTGAACACGGCTTTGGTGTTTTCGTTGTCCAGCAGAACTCGTAGTGGTTTTGTTGCCAAATTTTTTCTACGTCCATTGAGACGCAGGCATATACGTGCTCGGACCAACGCATGATCGCTGTCCAAACACGTACTCCAGAAGGAGCGGCAGTCTTCCACCGATCCTCTCCAGCGATGACTAATAGCAATGTGGTCTATCTGTGTCCATCGCTGAGTCGAGCTCGGTGGACGCCAGGTCAGACAGTGCCTTTCTTTATGTCTGAAATTTGTGCTGGCTAAAAATAGGCGGTTATCTGAGCATAGTTGTAATAGGCGATCACCGTTATCTGTACGTTCAGCTGGGATTCCGAAAGTGCCACCTAAGTGCCTTTCTGCCTCACTCAGTCTACCCACCTGTGCGTTGAGGTCACCTGCAACAACCACTACGTCCGAACGTTTGGCTTTCGAGAGGAGGTTAGACAGTTTATGGTAGAACTCGTCCTTCACTTCATCCGAACTACAGTCAGTGGGTGCGTAAGCAGAGATTACAAAGAGACAACGGCGAGTCTCACTATTCCTTTTAGTTCTCACTGTGCCGTTCAGCCTCATAGCGCAGAGGCGACTATCAACTGGGATCCAGTCTAGTAGTGAGTTTTCTGCCCTGGTGCTTAATGCTATACCTACACCTGCAAGACCACGAGAGCTAGCTATCGAATCTCCAGAAACTCGAAGGGTGAATTTTGCAGATTCACCAGATTGGTCAGGAGAGGTCAGGTGAATAACCACACTTGGGTCCTGTATGCGTGTCTCACAAACACAGCACACATCCATGCCCGAGTTGCTAGAGTCTTTGCCAACGAAGCCTGTTGGCCAATTTGACGGAGGGTGCGGACATTGAAGGCTCCAATATGTAATTTGGAGCGTGGTTTAAGGAGACCAGGGATGCTGTTCTGTGGACTCAGATCGTTGTCGAAGGCTGCAGAGGTAGGAGAAATTGAAGATGATGCAGCATCATTAATTAAGAGACGTGAAGGAAGATTAGAAGGTAATGATGGAGGAGGAGGATAGCAGTCAGAAGAAACTTGGGTGCTGACAGAGTTGTGAGGGCGGTTGACACTTCCCGGCTGCCCACACCGTGGAAGGCTATTTCTTCTTAAGGTACCTGAAAGAGATTTGTGTGACCGCAGAGCCCATCGGACATCTGCTTGAGGCCTGTCACACCCAGCCTTTTGAGTATGATTATTTTGAATTTTTGTATTTTTGGGGCCGGATGGTCGAAAGGAAACGACAAGTGAACCAACACCGCCGGCCCGGCAGACCGTGGGGCGTGGTGGAGTGTGTTATTTTTGGGGCCGACCTTTTCTAACCCCCCCTTCCACTGAGAAGGCAGCATCAGCTTGGCACTGCTGGTCATCCAAGGGAAACACCTTACTGCTGTCACACCCCATCCAGCTAGCAGCAGTACGACTTCGCCCTCAGACCCCCATCATAGTGTAGCAATTTACACTATAACGGTAACTGCTTTTCGTCTAACCACTACCCAACAGACCTTTCTGGTATGGTAGGACCTCGAGGGAACAAGCGTTCCACCAGCATAGCTCGTTGGGTCATTGTGATATGCAAGCCCGACCACCACGTCAAGGTAGCAGCTATCGGTCGGGAAGATGTATGTAAGAAAGAATACATAAAATGTAAGTAAATTTTCGAAATCTGATACTGACATACTATCAGTACTTTGGCTTAAGGATGGATTCAAGAAATTGAGACCTTTAAAAACCTTATTTCTGTTAAGACGATATAGGCGACTACCAATTTGGTTGAGGTTTTTCTTCAACCGCTACATTTGCTTTTCTCTACTGTTGATTTGAAATGATTTCGTTCATTCGATGACGTTGGTATTCAAATACTTCGTTCGATATTACTTACAAATTCAACCGAATCTTTCTAACGGTTGTTCGCATAATCTTCAACGAAATATTTCAGAAACCCTGGAAATTCATAACATGAAGTTAGGACTATGCACCCAAAAGAAACCTGTTAAATTTCTTTGATTATCATAGTTCTAACGTTGCTAACTAAGTGAGCTACCTGAAAATCGTGAACCTTGACCACTCTAAAGTAAAAGTTTCTCAGCTCTTTCCAGTTTTAGTTCAATTTTACTTTGTTTCATATTACTGTCATTAATATGACTTAGATTATCATTGTTTGATTTCCACCTAAATGCGTTGATTGAAACTCATATGATATGAACTTAGATCCAACTACTCTTATTTTGAAGTTGTTGCTTATGGGTATCATGGTCCCTCTGGTAGTCTTTCTGTGAAGGTAGTTTCTTTTTGTGAGAATACTATGGAGGTAATCTTGCTTTTTGGAAGATTTTATTTTCAGTGAAGCTTTTAATGTGTTGTTCACGTCTATGTAATTGCTTAGCGTTGGTTACTTTGCACTTTCATTTTGGTTTTTACTGTTCATTTTATCGTCTTTATTCATTTTGTTGGTCAATTTCTCTGATTTTATAGAGTTGGTATGTTTAAAGAACAAATCTTTGTGTCTCAGTTTATCTAATCTATATTTCTTTAGCAATAGTAATGTTTTGTAGCTACTCGGAACGGAGAGCTTTTACTGGTTTCCGGGGTTTCTTCAAAGGTTAGACGATGAAGTCAGGTATCCCTTATTTTCTTTGTGAAGTGTTATTGAATCAGTTTCGAATGAATGTGTTTAGTGTGGGTAATTCTATTTCCTCCACTACAAAGTTGTTGAACACCGTGAATAAAATCGGATGATGACAGGTATTTCATTTTGGACACCTAAGTTGGCTATTGGAAGTATATGATGACATTACTTAAAATCAAAGTAAATGACATACATATGTCTTCTTATGAATTAAGTTTGTTTTAATCCACTGTCACTGACGTTATTATTCACCTCCGATTCTTTGCTTTGGGGTGTTATTTGAGTTTCTTGGTTAAGGAAGTAAATAAATTGTTTGAGGTTTACGTGTACGAGCTTTCCGTCTTTATCGCTCTCTCAGTTCCTTCGTTTTGTTAGCAGCAATCAAAGTAACTATTGACTCTGAAATATTGGACTTTACAATAATATCATGCTTTGCAGGTTATATAAAATATGCATTAAGGTAACTCAAAAGGAGGGGTTTCGTTCGAACCATGCGTTGGTTATGCACCATCTCATCTTCCGTCAAATTATATTTCTGGCCTTTATGGAAAACAAGCTATCAAAACACATTCAACAGTAGGGCTTTTTGTAAGGTTTAGTAAACTTTATTGTATAATGTGATAATTACACAACCAGTATGTTTAAGGTATTGGCGTACTTTTGTTTTATTCTCCTTTCAGGCTTCAAGTTTGACTTCTGAAGATTTGGAATTCTTGAAGAAACTGGTTTATCGTTTGACGAGCCAAGTAAGAACTTACTACTGCTATGTTCTAGTTGTCAATTAATGTGTACAATCGTTTTATATAACAACTCTCAGCAGAAGCTAGATACCGACCAGTTAAGTGATCATTAGGAGTCACATTTTCATTAAACATCTTAGTTTGTGACCCGTCACCAGAAGCCGTTTTCAATAGTGATCTTCAGGGTAGCAAACACAACCGTAAAGACGAAAAGCAGTTATCGATATAAATTACTACACCATGATAGGGGTCCGTGGGTGAAGTCTTACTTTTACTGGACAGCGTGTGACAGCAGTAAAGTGTTTCTCGCGGATGACCAGCAGTGCCATGCTGATGCTGCCCCCTCTATGGGAAGAGGAGTTAGAAAAGGTTGGGCTCCATAATAGCATACTCCTCTCTGCCCTGACTTATACTGATGTAGGGGTATAGGTCTTCTCTGTCCAGTGTTCGAACAACCAACAATAACAATCCGTAAAAGGCTATGTGTGACCGGCCTCAGGTACAGGTATCATGGGCTCTGTGGTCACACAAACCTTTTTGTCTTTCAGTTACTCTAAGGAGAAATAACCTTCGATGGTATGGGCAGCCGGGAATTCGTCAACCACCCGCACGCTTCTAGTGCTACATAAGACCAGGTCAAGCATAACCTATCCTCCTAAATTCTATCTCCTTTGCCTTCACTTCTCTATGCTTATCATTAAGTCTCTTACACACTCACCAACCACTCAGCTTGCGACTATTGCCAACGATCAAAGCCATTGAAGCGCCATTCCTAGTTTCCTGAGATTCCTTTATCGACTTCACTTTGGAGCTCTCAGCGTCCGAACCAGATGCCAGGCATTAATCGCCAGGACCCTAGAATATCGAGTCATGAATGCATGGTGAATTTCTGATGCATGTATACAGGCACAGAGCGTGGGTCATTCGCTTGACCTCACCTAATACATGTGGTGAACCTTCAAGATTCAGATAACAGGTGTCTGAAAACTCATTGGTTATCTCTCGTGGACCCGACGATGTAGGCATATGTCGTTAAGTTGTGTAGCAGAAAGTACACCTCTCCACTGGATACCAGTCAACAGCCATCTGCGTAATGTTCGACTGAATCCACCTCTAAGAACCAGAAAAAATCGTCAGACCAACCAACACCTTTTCATAGTTTCCGCCTACGGACCCAGTGACTACAGTTTGAGTGGTGAAAAGGATGAGTTCTGCCAGAAGCTGTCAATTTTTCACAGAAAGTAAAACGTTCATATATAGTCATAGTAGCAAAAGACTGGAACACTAAATTAGAAAAGCTGAGCCAATCGGAAAGGCATCTGGGAGGTATCTACGGAGTCCTATACCGAAGAACCGACAGTAGTGATTGTCTGTTTCGATTTCATCCTAACCAACCACTTGTTCCTGACCCACTACTAACTCCCAACATTAGATCTCATAACTCAGTGACTCAAAGTTGATTGTCTGAACCAGCAAGCGACAACTTAGCCAAGGAATACCTGTGGCTTGTCTGAGCTACCAAAATGTTCACGCAGTCCAAAGCAGACCTACATTTCGAATTGTCAACACTTTTCCTTCTCTCCTATTGTATGGCTGTAAAACGTGGTCGTTAAAGGCAGAAGGGATGAAGCAATTGCAAGGTTTTGATCGCAGATATCTTCGTAACATATCTCGCGTTTGGTGGAATCATCGAATGAGCAATGTTGAAGTCAGGCGAAGTCAGGCAGAACAACCAAGTCAGTTGATGAGGTTGTGAACCATCATTGGTTGAGGTGGAATTGACGTGTACTGCGCATGCCGAGCAACCACCTATCTCGATATGAAATGTTTTAGGAGACGAAAGAGTTTAGTGGTTGAGGACTATTAGTGACATGGCTGAAAATCGGCCGTAGTTGCGCAGATATATTAACTCCTTGACATCTAAGACTTGAATATTTGCACTAATTCTTCATTCTCTCACACAACTTTATCTACTTTGATATCACTCTTTTTCTATCCATATGTTCTTTGTGTACTACTGTGAAGTGTAGTAATTTGAGCTGATGCACTTGTATACGAGGTTCTAAGTTGATTTAGTCAGTCGGTTCCGGTTTTGCTCACTAGAACATAAACGTAATTTCGAACTCCAGTACGTAGAAGACGCCTTCAATTGTACTCTATTTTCTTCTACATTCACAGTTTATTGGGTAAATTTATTATCCTCATTGGGACATTAAACAAACACTTCAATGAAGAAGATTTCTCTGTACACCGATTTCATGTTCAAAAGCTGTTCAGTTATATTTATGTAGAAGTTAGAGTTGAGAGTAAAAAAATTGTTTGTATGCATGGTTCACTTTTGTAGTAAGTTGAATCATGCATTGACAGAATATGAGTAAGGATAATATTTTGTGAATCATCAAATGGACTTGAAGGATATGGTGTGATGTTTTTATCTAAAGGCGGTAGTCAAGTGAAGATTATATCAAACAGCAAGTGTGAATAACAGTCAAATCGAATGCGATATGATACGGATCAAAAGAGATGAAAATGATATTTGACAATATAAAATGAATTTAAAGAGAAACATGTGACCAAAGTACTGAGGGATACCATGTCAGCTTTGTTTGCGCACATAGTTCTGGTTTAAGATAATGTATCACTACGGCTTCTGAGGTACGAACTAGGTGTGTGCGTTCACTTTTCGACAAGTTCGCTTCGATCCTGTAAATAATATCAAATGATAATTCGAAGACCTCATGATTGTAGTCAATTACATGTTAGAAGATTGATAAATTTGTGTCCCTGCGCTCCCCTTTGCGTAGTTATATTGGAAAGTGGCATGGAACGCGAAATTTTCTTTTGAAGAATGTCCCATATACGTAGCTCCATAAAGTGAACATACACATGTAAATCGAATTGGATAATCGATAATCATCGAGTTTTATACCCACTTAATTGTGATTATTTTTAAAGATAAATCTTTCGCTTAGCTTCACTGTATGTATTTTTGTATATATTATATTGTCTTGTAATAGGATATACTAATTTTCGAGATCAAAAATGCCCAATCACAGTATTCACAGTTATTAGATATATTGAAGCCAGAGTGTGGTGATGTTGTTGTCCTTACAAAAGGCAATACGGAAAAGAAGGTAATTAGTTCAATTTATGTAGTTGGTTATCAGAAAAAATCATTTATTTTCCTGCCGTCAGCTGACAACACTTGGAACAGCACGAATTGAAGCAGCTAAACTTATTGATTCTAAAGGTACTGTCATCTTGTCTTCTTTTTCTTCTTGAACATTTTATAGTGGTGATTTTTCTTTTGATCCCTTCTTGGATTCTTGTTGCACAATACCGTTTCCGAAATGCTTCATTTCATTCATCTTAGCTGGAATGCCTGTGAACGAATGGACATACCTGTGAAGTTGGCATGTTGTAATTCATATGCCTTAAGAGATGCGAATTATATGTTGTTATTGTTATTACGGAGAAACAAGCGTCCCAGCGGTTGAAGCGTAACTAGGTCACTGTAATAGGTAAACCTGGTCATATTGTTAAGGTAACAACTGCTTACGAGGAGATTCTACTTTTTATACTTCTTCTAGTTGTTTTCACTCAACTTTCACAGAGACTCTGGTCGTTGTTCTTGTGAAGGATACCGATAACATACTAGCAAATTCTAACAGGGTCACGTGTCACTATTTCGAAGCAAAATAATCTACTTTGTCCGTCGCCCCACTTAGCTAAGATCGATGACCTCCAATTACCAAATGCATCTTAGCACTGTACTGTACATTTTATAAATAGGTGTCATGCGTTCAGATGGTGTGTAGCATTAGTGCAAAACGAAGAAATAACACCTCTGAATGTTCCAAACTTTGATGCTGGTTTGTTTATTGATGAGGCGAATCTACGTTTGTAAGTTCTCATCAGTTATTTCTTTTGGCAAATAGACTGTATTGCAACCTATGTAACTTTGAGTATATACCTTAGTAAGCTCATATATGGTGTAATCTGTAAAACGGCATCAGTCTGTTATGTATGTTTCAGAAGCCAGTTGTCTATTAATGTAGCAGCGTACATGTTTGCAGCACTGAATTGGGCCAACGGTTTCAAGGAAAATCTAGACAGTTTTAGAAGAGAATTCAAAATCTTCACTGTGTTAGCTCCTTGTGAAAAAAATATCAAAGTCTGCTTGTAGCTGTGAACAAGGTTGTATCTCACCAGGACAATAAGGCCTACAAATTCTTTTAGATACCAATGCTCGCGAATAACCTGTTGGGTACAATAATTTCACCTGTCATATAATAGATCTTAACTGTTATTAGCGTTATCACTATTATAATCACTATCGTTACTATCATTATTATTATTACCATTACTACTATCGTTATTATTACTATTGTTATTATCATTATTACTACTATTATTACCATCATTATTATTGCTATTGTTATCACCATTATTATTACCATTACTATTACTGCCATTACCACTGCTACTACTGCTATTATTATTAATAGAACACAAACATGGTATATTAGGGGCACTAATAAATGTGCCACACAAGATAATATAACAACATAGTGAAGACATAAAGCGATGGGAAGTGGAAAAGCGCAATGAGAATAGAATGACTAGAAAGTCAGTCAAATAAGAAATATTCAAGGCAAAACATTCATTACTCTTCAACAGCAGAAGACAGAAAGAAGCTGCAGCATAATCGCCACTGGTTTCGGTTCTGAGCCATATCTGATAACGTCTCAAGCTCCTGAGTTGCGTGATCTCTCGGACTTCATCTGGGGAGTCGTGATGCACCATCAGATGCTAACCCGATACAACTATCGTTCGTCCCGCAGCTCCACTTCATACACTGAACACCCCTCCGCTTCTTCCATCCAGTCGCAGGGCTAAAAAATAGTGACCGGTATGGAAACAGTCGGGATAACATGGGTATTACATATCCAAGCCACCGAAGCCGGTGTTTTCAGATGACTTTACTTATTGAATGACGATCATCATGCTCAAGCACATGGTGTAGTACCTCGGAATTACTTACATTATACTGCCATTAGATACGAGCAATCGTATAGAGACAACGATGGTCGAACATAGAGTAGTCGCACATTCTCAACTCGGACAGGCAAGATTTTGCAGGGGTAGAGCAGAAATGCTCACCGAAGCATTGTAAATCCGACCTTTTACGGTCAGACTAACGTCGCGATGGCGCCAAAGGTGTCCCAGATTGGGATATGCCACTCTAGCTTTCAATATGCAGTTAGAAATTTCATCACTCACACCTCTACCAGGTAGTCATAGAACTATCCAAATACACGAACTTTTCGGGTACTTCTAACGGCTCACTACCGAGGGTGAGGGAAGACACAGGCTCCTGCGAAAGTACTCTTGTAAAAGTACTTTACACTTCGATGCTGCAAAGCACATACCAATATTAAGTTCGATCTGAGTAACCCGTATATTATCGCACAGTGAAATGATATCGTCCGTATATTCAAGGTCGAACGGTTGTTCTGCCAGTAGTCGACCTACACCACCATCACGCACATTCTTCAGAGCTTTCCCAAAAATGTCATCGATGGCAAAGTTAAAGATGAGTGGAGAAATCGGGCAAGCCTGTCTGACCCCACTTCTGGTTTGGAACAATGGAGACAGGTGGTTGTATGGCCTCACTCTACTTGAGATGCTTTTGTATAGAGCCGTTAGTCTGTTATTCAGTTTTTCAGGCACGCCGCTTTCCAACAGACAGTTCCAGAGTTCAGCTCTGTCCATCGAATTGAAAGCAGCTCAAGAAACACAACGATTGTTGGCCTGCGATACGTTCAGCGATGTTCAAGCATCTGGTGCAGGGTAAACATATAGTCAATGGATTCATGACCTGATAGAAACCCGGCCTGCTCCTCGCGAATTATTTTCTCATGTGTTTCGCAAAGTCTACGAAGTATGATGGCCAATATTTTAGGTGCGATTGTTAACAGACTAATATCTCGATGATTGTCACATACATTACGTACGTACCCGTTTTTTAAGGGTGGGCACAATGATTACCTCATTTCAGACTGATGAAACAATCTCAATCTGCCATACCTCCTCAAACTATCTAGTCAGTTCCCTAACTAGATTCGTTCTTCCATCCTTAAAAGATACCGGCGTTGAGTTGTTTAGGCCGGGTATCTTGTGGCGTATCAGAACTTGGAATCCCTTATGAACCTCCTCTTCGTTGGGTAAGTCAGTGTCAAGTGACCACGGAGCACGACATACTGAAACTGAGGGTGTCGTGGCAGCAAGTCATTTAAACAACTTTTGAATTGCTCCACCCAACTTTCCAAACGTCTTTGAGGATTGTTTATCGGCGTACCACCTACCTCAGAGATTGTATACTGACACCAGGCCTCTTGCTTCCGGTGTCTTGGTTGAGCTGTAACAGCTTTCGACTATTGCCAGACATAGCTGCTGACTTTATCTCACTCACGCGTTCTGACCACCAAGCCTCACGGTCTTTGCGTAAGCGTTGTGTAATCCGCGTAAGAGATCTACGCGAACGATTGTACTCGCTATTCTCCGGAATGTTCCGAAGAGCGTCAAGAAGTTGCAGGGGGCTGGTGGAGATCCAGTGTTTATTAGTAGGACGTTCTTCCAAGCCACTAACGGTTTTACTCGCCATTTTTATGGCGTCTTGCAAGTGTAGCCAGTGCTTGTCTACACTTTCTGGAGGATTGGTAGGTAGCCTTAAATCTAGCTCGGATTGGTATTTAGCTGCAGTTTTAGGTGCAACTAATTTGCTTGCATCGACCTATTTCGGACGACGATCTACGATGACCACCAAAACGCAAGCCAAGCTTGGCACACACTAAAGCCCGATCGGAATTCAAATATGGAGCGGCAGTCCCGTAAGCACTCACACCGTCCGTAGTTGATTGCAGTCCGATCTATCTGAGTCTAGGCTTGAGCGGTAGAGGGGGTACGCCTAGTAGCACAACGGCGGTGGCTGTGCCGGAAGTTGATGCTGGCTAGAAATAGGCTGTGATTGGCGCAAAGCTGCAGAAGATGATCACCATTATCTAACCTGTGGCACACCAGTCCCCATTGGCCACCTAAACGAGTCTCCTCTGAGCTTAGACGCCCGACCTACACAGATGACAAAAAGACTTCCTTTCTCTTGTAGGTTGCTTTTTATTCGAGATAAACCTTCTAGCCTAACAGCAAACAGATGGGGATCCAGTTAAATAATGCAGCTTCGGCTCGAGTGCTTAGTACGATACTGAAACCAGCGAGGCCGGTTGCCGACACCACATGGTCTCCGGATGAGCGCACATATAACATACTTTTCGAGCTGATAGATGGAGAACTAATTCAAGGTTTTCACCTGAGATCTCGTATGCAGGTCTCTGAGATCCAGCATACATCAATAGCGAGGCTTTCTAGAGTCCTAGCCAAACCTGCCTGTTGTCCGATCTGCATCAAGGTGCGAACGTTGAAGATGGCGAGCTTAAATAGTATGCATGGCTTCAGGATAGCTATATGTGTCAGATGCCGCACTGGAGGACAGCTCTATAGAGGCAACTATTTGGCGACTCAAAACAGACTAGAAGTCTAAGCAATGGAGAGCAGCTGAGTAAGGTGAAGAAAAAGACAAAAGCGAAAATGGTAATAGTAAAAAAAATGAAGTCCATATGTAAAAGCAACAAAAGCAATATAATAACAGTTGATTGAACAATTAGTTAAGGTGTTCGTGGTGTAGGAGGCTTGAATGTTTTCACAAAAGTTGGGTTACGCTTCAAAATCTTCATCGTACATTGTAATTCCATATTTTATGTGAGGACTGAGATACTGTCTGGGGGCCCAGACCGAAGCAGGTGGTTGTCTTGGGGGACCACTCTCCAAGCCTTTTACTTAAAGTCTAATCCATAAGGCAGTGGTGCAACATCAGGTGCTGCATTTTCATGGTTATCGGCAACCGAAATAGGTTCATACACCATTCGTTCTTTCCGGAACCTGGAGCCCATGTTCACCATTGATTTCGAATCAGGGTTTTCTAACCCCCTAGGTGGACCCTCAATATCCACCAATCGGATGATAAGGGTAGGATATTCGCCTTCATCCTTTCACTTTTGTAGGAACACTCCTGCTACGTGAAGGCAGTGAATAGGACTTCTACGGCAGAGACTGTGAATGCATACCAGGGCATTTGGGGGCGATTTTCATTTGACATAGAAGTCTAATTGGTTATTTCAGTTGTTGTTAGGGTGGCCTTAAAGTCGATCAGAGTTTCCAGTTGAAGCCAACTAGTTTGTCAGAGTATAGAGACATGGCTAGATGTAAAATGACACGGGGTATGGAGATAAGAAAAACAAACTAGTGTTGACGTTACCTATCGGTATGCGTCTTGTGATACAATCACGCCCCAGGATGTCATGACAGTGACAGTCTTCAGCCTAACTGAGGTGGAGACTTATAATGGAAGCATTGTTCATCGAATGACTATCAGACGAACATAATATGAATGAATTATGACTCAGTAATGCAGACGTAGTTAAGCTCATTCTGGTCCACATATGGGCATTAAACTGTCAGTCACACTTATTGTATGAATGCTTTGTATGCTACCTGATCATCTAGGCTGCTTGTATTGTCAGGTCCTCAAAAATGCACGATTACTGCCTGCATTTTTAAGTTATGTGGCAAAATTCGAACGTCTCCTTTCGCGTCTTTTTTCGCCTTTCACACCTCTTAATAATGTAAATTTTTGTTGGTTATTATTTCATTTTGAGTAAACCAATTTAATTTTCCGCTTCAAGGGTAGTCTCATTGTATATCAACCAACAAGATGAATCCATATCGACATATACTGTCTTTAACTGAAGTTATTCTCTTTAATCTCCTGTGTTATCTTCTTCCCTCTTTTAATCGAGCGAGCTGTAGAGAAATCATAATTCTTAAACATATTGATTCATTTCACGATGCACAAACTCTTCATGTATTAAATCATATTTCATTTGTCAATGCAGTCAGTTCACGCGTCTAGAATCTAGTATAGCAATGAGTCAGTCCAGATCGATGTAAGTGGATCGTTACACATGTGTGGAAAATTCTACTACCTCTAGACTAATGAAAAGAAAGCGTCGAAACCACGCCTCATTGTTGTGAACTTATCTTAATGCAACGGCTGATAAAAACTTTTATCGGGAAACATTATGCTATTGATAATCCTGTTTCACTATGTGGTACTTCGGAAAAATGAGCCGAAATTCCCATTTCAACATGAGCATTGATATTGACTGATATTATTGACTCCCTTTTTGGTTTTTATATGCCAAGTGCTCTGACTTACTTTGTCACTATCCAGAGGATAACATTTAACTGATCTGATTGTGTGACGGAAGGTTACTTCATTCAAAATGTTTTAAACCAACTAAAAAATCAGCCAAAATGGGACTAGTGCTAGGATAAAGTATGAACTTCTGTTAAATACAATTACCTTTATGAGAAAATCGTTAATCATATTTCTCCTGTTTGTTTCAGCAATGATGATTATGGGAATCGTATCACTTACCTTAGTTTTTCAAGGAATTTTCACGACATCTGTACTTTATCACTTCTGGAAATGATTGACTGTCTAAACTAGTTCATAGCTTTTCTGTTATAACACTTCGTTTCGTAAACTTTTATATGTACTTCATTGTTCTTAACGTTTTTCCCAGTGTTAGTGACTAATTGGTCACCAAGTGGGATGTAAGTTAAGCTTGTTGCCAAATAACTATGGCTCTCCAAACAGTACAGATCCACACCATAGTTACATGGATGGATGTTTTCATGAAGAAGCTCTACATAGAGCATTTAGGTGGTTCTGGGTTCACTTTGTTGGCTGGTGGTAATCAGAGATGTTTTTGCCCCAGGGGATTACTAGCAGAGTCTAGTTGCCCACGATAGTGAGCTTCCTCGTGACCCAGCTGCATATCGAGCAATACACCGTCACGTTGACTTAGCGAAAACGGTGGTTAACGAGATCTGTTTGCGCAAAACTAGTGGTGTGGGCTTCCAAAGCACAGATTACTTCGTTATCCATCAGGCTTCCGCCCACTGTGCTGGGAGCAGTACAACAGACAGGTAAAGTGAATTTAGCTTCTTAGTTCTGATAGTTATTATTGTTTAAGCATTCCCGAGAGTCGCATGTAGTTTGGTTAACCCTGAGGTTCGGCTTTATATCAACAGCCTGAAGAAAGGCAACGCCACGAGTCTGTCGAGATTACAGGTTGATGGACTAGGCCTCGTAGAGAAATACTTTTTCCGGAAGGTGAGCTGCACCTAGGTTTGCAAGGTTTTCGAGAATTCAGTGAATTGCATCGCATGCTTGTCCATCGACTGAAGGGTGAGTATGATCATTAATCGATGGATCCTTTGAGGCTTGATGTTTGGGAGGTTTATGGACAAAAAGGATCACTTTAGTGGCGTTAATAGAGTGCTCTGATAGGAGTGTTCGTTTCCATGTAGATACTTTGCTTGAATGTCCCCTGTTCGGTGAGGGGAGTGATCTACCAAGTTCACAGACCTGAATACCATCCTGGAACCCGTAGCTTAGCGGAAAATTGGAGTGAAACCTCAGACTGTTTCTCTGCATGTATCCTCAAAAAGAATCACTGATGATCACACGTGACAGTAGTTTTCACTTATTACTGCTTTTTAGTTTGCCTTTTGAAGCTCAAATATCTAACGTTTTCCCCCTAGTCGTTGCTGTTTACATAAAGAGACTTAGCTCACACAGCGACCGTAGCTCATGCACCAGTTTGAGTTACCTTGTTTACTGTTGGTGTTGGTGTTTTCGTTGTCACCATTGCATTCATCTCTTCTAAGTTTCATAGTGTTAAACCATATTTTCGTATGCTTACCATCACTTATAGACTGTGAAGCTTTTCTTCGTAATTTTCTTTCCTTGTGTGCACCCCTATTTTGTGTTAATGGTAGTCTCAATAATGATATTTTTATTTCCGTTCAAGGTTTGCCAATATATAAACCTGGTTTCCACTTTCTTTGGGTGAATAATTTTCCACTGTTCGAACAAAATGATTTGGGTATGTTTCAGCATTGAAATCTTATAATATCTTTATGCTTTTCTAATTTTAAATGGAACTGTTTGAGTCAGACTTCGTTGGACGTCGTAATTATGAGTGAAGTAATGTTTTGTTATATATGAAAAGAGTGTATATACCTACAGTTGAATTTAGGTAATTGGCTGTACCAGGTGAGAACTTCATCTTAAAATCGCTTCAGGCTGAAAGTGATATGGACAATAAATTATGTCCGAAACGTAGTTCAGGAAACAGTACTGTTCCACTATGTGATAAGTCTAATAAACCAATTAAAATGGAACTTTATATTCTTTCTTTTGTCGAATCTTTTATTTGAATTCGACCGCGGTCCAGATTTTCATCTCACCTTCAATCATCCCCCAGTTTAAATACTAGTCTGCCAAATTACGGCTATCTCAGATAGTCAAATGATGATTATTTCTAACTTGCTGCACTATCTTGATGTATAACACTCCCTTCTGATACATTGTTGTGGTGGATATTTCGCACTCAATCATTTTCTGTGACTTAAAAAATGAACAGTTTTGATGGTGTTTTTTTAAAATAGATGGTAGAAAGCCACTGACATCCGGAATGTGGTTAGTCGTACCATCATTGGTGAGCGTGATAAGGCATTCACGAGTAGTTTTCTACTTAGTATTATAGAATGAAAAGTCATCTGTTTATTTATTTCACGAATATACATTAGATGATTGTGCTTTTTATTTGTTTGTTGTTGTGTGTAGCGGGTCGGAGTCTTTTATTCTTCTCACGTCCAATGACTCTGTGTTCCTGAATCATATCTTTTTCATACCTCTCACTTATTTCGTTATATTCTGTGTCTAGGCCAGTGGACATCAACACATCATCCATTTACTGCTCCGACTCCAGAAACAACTCGTCTGCTGTACACTGATCCAGGTCAAGTGATTGGTTTACACTATGATTTAGTTTGCAATGGTCAAGAAGTCGGTGGTGGTTCAATTCGAGTGCATAATCCTGAAGTACAGAAATACATTTTCACTGAAATTCTTAAGGTAAAGAGCCTTTATAATTCATTGTACGATTGTTTTCTAATTATAGGAAGATTCATCGGAAATGGATTATTTTCTTACTGCTCTGAGGTCAGGAGCTCCACCACATGGTGGGATAGCTTTAGGTAAAAGAATTCAGTACATTCTAAACACATAACTACCTATCTTTCTAGGTGTTGATCGTCTGATCGCTCTACTACTGAATGCCAAAACGATCAGAGATGTAATTGCGTTCCCTAAAGTGGCTGATGGGAAAGATCTTTTATGTGGCACACCCACTAAGCTCAGTGATGAGGTGCTCTCACAATATGGCGTTTCTATTTTGAATAATAAACAGTAATTTCTAAGTGGAATTTTTTTGTCTTCATAAAAAATAACTATCAATTTTATTATTAGATGGTTAATTTAGACAGCATATACCCCTATCCTTATCATGGTTTGTGTACTGCTTAAACAACCGGTGTTGTCTAGCAATAGTTAAGTCAGGTATCACATTGAAGGGCAGCTTTATGGAAACAGCTGTTTTACAGCTCAAAACAGTACAGCCAGACCAACAAGGTCAGAGATAGAGAGCTAAGGAAGAAAGTAGTGATAAGTCTTGAGCAAAGAGGTAGAAGGTATAAAAGTGCTGAAATTCGGTACGACGATTATGTTTAGATGTTTCTACCCCACTGAGATCGACTCCAAGTCATACCACTTAGAGCCTCCAACCGTTTACTTCGGCTATCATGCGGATGCCGACCGGGACATCTAAATTTCTCTACACGGTTCAAAGGAGCAGTCGAAAACTTCATAGTGTGATTCTGATTAACTTTAGCGTTTTTCCAGCCTGAACCTATTTCAGTTAACATGGCACGATGCGGTAGGCGGTGACTAGGCACACGTAACACATTTCTCAGCCACCTGTGTCTGTGAAGGTTTAAGACATGGTCAATTGAATTTTCTTTACTCTTTAAAACTCTTCACTTGACTTCTACATTATTGATACAATGACGTCACTACACGTGGTCCATACTACGAAGACCACGATGTTCAAACACCTGAAGCCTTCTCAAATCCTCTTTCTTCAAAGTCATATGACAGACAGAATAAACGTAGAACATTGCACACGAGTGCAATGGTTCAAACTGCCATACTTCACAGCAGCATACGAAAAACAAGTGGATAGAAAAAGAGTGATATTACAGTAGACAATGGTGTGTGGGACGAGATGGAATTCGGAAATCAACGTTCGTGAAAATGTCCAAGCTCTAGAAAACATCAAGGACCATATACATCTGTGCCATTGTGACCCGTCTTAAGCCATTTCACCAAGAATTTTTAACCACTGATTCCTACTATCTCGGAGAACTCAGCCAGGCAGTTTAAATTTCCCAACACGACTCAGACAAGGACTTCATAGTCTAGTGCCATGTCTTAATCTAGTTACCCTTAACCCTCTTCGAACCTAATCCAACTTCCTCGTAGTATGGCACGTCGAGGTAGGTGGTGGTTCAGCATGTGCAACAAATATCCAAGTCACATCAGTCGCTGAAGGTTGATAAATTCATTGACCGGTTCTACTTCTTTGCCTGACTTCTACATTGATCATATAGTGATTGTACCTTATGCTAGCAGTACTACAAAGACACGTGATCAAAAACCTGTAGTCTCTTCATAGCATCTGCTTTCAACGGCCATATCTCACAGGCGTATTAATAGACAGAAGGGACTGCAGCGCAGTAGATAGTCGGATATTACCCTAGTCGGCGCTAGAAAAAGCAAGTTAGCAAATGCCAGGTGAGACTTTTGCATCGGAGCTCAGATTTTGTTGGGCTGATGCAACTCCTTAAGTAAGTGAAGTGGTCGACACATTACACCACTTCACTCCCTATCATTAAATTGGGTGTACTTGCAGCAGATCAGTACTGGAGCATCACCCTACATTTGGGAGGTGCGACAGGTATGTCAGCCAAACATACTCAGATTTCTGTTCACCGTGTTCAGAAGACTTCATTTTGCCAGGGTAATATCGTCTGCATACTCCAGATCAACCAGATGACCTCCGGATAGTAGAATAATCCCTGTGAAGTCAAACATGCCTTAGGTTATATCCATTAGTACGTCTATGATGAAGTTAAATAAGAACACTGACCGTAGGCATCTCTTTCGATACCACTAGTTGTCATTAATTCAAATAATTCTCTGTAAGCCCTTACACGGCTGCCTGAGTTTAAATAGAGAGCTTTAATAAGCATTATATTCAAGCTCTGTACTCCCTTCACAATCACTACCACATCACCTCTCGTTCGACAGAGTTGAATGCCGTCTTTAGATCAAGAGATGTGGTGTGTTGGTCGCCAGTAGATATACCTGTGTTCCAGAACCTGCAGGAGGGCGAGGATGGGATCGATGCACTCTCGACCAGGTCTGAAACCTAACTGGTCTTCTCGAGTTTTTTGTTTTCGCACTCCAGTTAAGTGTCAGATAACTACGGACCCAAGGATCTTGAACATAATATTAGTTAAACTGGTTCCGCTATATTTGCACAAGGAAGCTTGTCTCCTTTCTTATAGAGTGGAATTATCAGTGACTGTTGTCATATGTATGTGTAGTAGACCTAAGAGTCATCTCTGAAACAAGTCACATGCGTGTAAACAGCAATGCTAAAGTACGAAATGCACCAAGTGAAGGGCTTGCAGCTATTCATTCTACTACGGAAAGGAGACGGAATAAACACGGTATGGTGAAACAAGAATGTTCCGAAAGGTTAGAGTTGATCATGTCAAATATATCTGAAAGCGCTGACACATGTGAGTTTCGCCTTCACACTTGTGGCCAGTCTCGTGCACATTAGCTTCCTGGCTTGGATTATTTCTGATATGACGTTGAACGCAATGCAGGAATACCTGCAGATAGTAGTCAATGGGAGCGACGTCCTTCAGCAAATGACAATTCGCAAGCCTTAAGGAATAACTGACTTACTTTGCACCTTGTTCAAGGAATCATCCAATACCCTCACTAAATCAGATCAAAAGAAAGGGAGAGGGTGGATGACAGCTAAACAGAGTGGTAGTTCGTAAAATCTATCATCACGGTGTCACGTTCTCCTCATTAATATTCAGTGATTACTGGGACTCACACCATCACAGTGTCGTCTGCAGACCACCATCTAATGTGTGGAAGGGTAGGTGAAGACTGGAGGTGGCTGATTTCTCATTGGGAAGCATCCACTATCACTTGCAAGGTGACCCAAGCCGAATGGCTTCCCATCGCGAAATGGTAAACAAATGTACATGCAATATAAAGATCCACCAAGTAAACTCGAGCCATCTGAACTTCAATATAACCCAGTTTCCGATTTCTCCTGCCACTAACACAAACCAACAGAACTTCACCAGTCAGCAAAGTGTCTGGCTCAAGTCTTCCAAGACAAAAATGCACACACGATTAAATAGCGAAAAAAGTGTGTTATGCGATGCAAACAGCTTGACACATGGCTGATAGTGTGCATATTATATTCATTCGTCTTCTAATTACGCTATCGACATCCCATGATTGTCTATTTTCAGTTAGCGCTTCCACATTCATGTACATATCACAGCAAGCAGTCAATATGCAGGCCAAACAGACTGCGTCCACCTATTCTGAGCAGTACCACATTGCAACTTTCAGATAAGCATTCCAATTTGAACGTTACTGCACTGGATATCAACGTAAGTTGCATCAAAATTCCGCTCACAAAGTGATAATCGTGGGTGTATATTCTCTGACATCACAATTGCCAAGTACACAATAACCAACGGACAGCTGAGTTCATTTCTCATTTGAAAGAGAAAGCAGCACGAGTGTCACACAGGAATGCTCTTAATTTTCGTCCGAATCATCTGGTTTTCTGCTCATTTAAGCAAATATGACTTAGTGGCCAGTTGTCTACAGTGTCGCTCATTAAATTTGTTTAACCATTCATATATGACCACAGTTTGTTAGATATCTTGACCAAAATCACACTGTGAATTCGTAAACATGAGGATGAGTCGGAATGCGCAGCACTTTATCTGTGTTAGTCAGTGTCAAAGGATATACGTGTATCCCAAGAAGTGGCTGCTGCTGGATTCATTGACTGGGAAGGGTTTGAAGGAAGAACATAGTCGATATCTATGAAAATATGAAGTCACACTGTGATGAGTGCGAAAGAAATTCAATTGAGTCAAATTGAGTCATGCGGAATTTCGAACATGTGCATGATTAGAAGAATGTGCGTTTCAACTTTCCACTCAAATCACATCTGGTCTGATCCGTCTTGTTGGCCTGCTGAAAACAACAAAAGGTGTGGGAACAAAGCTACAAATGAATGATTTGATTCAACAAAAGTGAGCAACAATCTCCTAGTAATAGACTACTCTTTGTAGAGTCCAGCTCAGAATGCTTCCAAAGTCACGGAGAAGAATTTGCTCAAGTTGATTGATGTTGAGGAAGTCTTCACATGTAGGTTTCACACCTGTTCTACCCATTGTTTCATCTGTCTCATAAGGGATATGACAGAAGAATTCACTACTTTGCTTACCTACCTATAGACAACTACTGACCAAGTAATATCACGGGTGGTATCAGCCTCTAGCTCGATGTGAATAGATAGTCATTGACTTAGTCAGACAAGCCTGTGTGTCTGACGGATGAATAAAACTCCTGTCTTTGTCGAACAGTGTTATGTCGTATGTGTTCTATATAGTGCAATGTAAAACTGGTTCTTCCTGATTCTCTTCGATTTGGAGATGTGAGATGTGACTGGTTACTCATGCATTCACATGAAATGAATGTACTCCTAAGATGTGGTGTGTGATAAGGATTGCCACACTTTACTTGACGCCATGAGAAGTTCACCTTATGGCCTTCATGTCATTTCGAACACTTATGGGATAAGGTTACCTGTGTGAGTGATGTTTCTATGAGCATGTGTTCATTTCAACCGAATTGCTAAATTCATCTCGTAGTAGAAAGCCTACCGACTCGTTCTTGATTCACTGTTGTCCAAAACTCTGAAAACAAACAAACCAGAAAGTGTTGTTGGTTATTCACAGTTTACTCGCATCAGATAGAGAAGGAGAAGTGATTTTAGGTGAAATTCTGACACAATCACAGGCCTCAGTGTATCAGCATATGAATGGATGACATTGAACGTGCGTGGAAACAACAGAAGTGATGACGGTGTTAGTCATGAATGCATTATTCACGTCTGTCCAAATCCTTCATCTACGATTTGCATTTAGCCTAAAGTCATACTGCAAAGTCTTGAAGAATCTAGATTGAATGTTATTACCAGTAGTTGTCGATTGACTAGTCCTTGAACTGCCAACAATCCATTT